CGAACATGTTAAAATACACAAAATATAACAGTTTTGAAAAACTTACTTGAAGTCACAAATTCGATGATTTTACGATCGAACATGTTAAAATACACAAAATATAACAGTTTTGAGAAACTTACTTGAAGTCACAAATTCGATGATTTTACGATCGAACATGTTAAAATACACAAAATATAACAGTTTTGAAAAACTTACTTCAAGTCACAAATTCGATGATCTTACGATCGAACATGATAAAATACACAAAATATAACAGTTTTGAAAAACTTACTTGAAGTCACAAATTCGATGATTTTACGAACGAACATGTTAAAATACACAAAATATAACAGTTTTGAGAAACTTACTTGAAGTCACAAATGCGATGATTTTACGATCGAACATGTTAAAGTACACAAAATATAACAGCTTTGAGAGACTTACTTGAAGTCACAAATTCGATGATTTTACGATCGAACATGTTAAGAAATACAAAATATAACAGTTTTGAAAAACTTACTTGAAGTCACAAATTCGATGGTTTTACGATCGTACATGTTAAAATAACAAAATATAAGAGTTTTGAGAAACTTATTGAAAATCACAAATTCGATGGTTTTACGATCGCACATGTTAAAATATGCAAAATATAAGAGTTTTGAGAAACTTATTGAAAATCACAAATTCGATGGTTTCACGATCGTACATGTTAAAATATGCAAAATATAAGAGTTTTGAGAATCTTACTGAAAATCACAAATTCGATGGTTTTACGATCGCACATGTTAAAATATGCAAAATATAATAGTTTTGAGAAACTTGTTGAAAATCACAAATTCGGTGGTTTTACGATCGTACATGTTAAAATGTGTAAAATATAAGAGTTTTGAGAAACTTACTGAAAATCGGAAATTCGATGGTTTTACGATCGTACATGTTAAAATATGCAAAATATAATAGTTTTGAGAAACTTATTGAAAATCACAAATTTGATGGTTTTACGATCGCACATGTTAAAATATGCAAAATATAAGAGTTTTGAGAAACCTACTGAAAATCACAAATTCGATGGTTTTACGATCGTACATGTTAAAATATGCAAAATATAAGAGTTATGAGAAACTTGCTTAAAGTCACATATTCCATGGTTTTACGATCGTACATGTTAAAATGTGCAACATACTAGAGTTTTGAGAAACTTGTTGAAAATCACAAATTCGGTGGTTTTACGATCGTACATGTTAAAATATGCAAAATATAGGAGTTTTGAGAAACTTATTGAAAATCACAAATTCGATGGTTTTACGATCGTACATGTTAAAATATGCAAAATATAAGAGTTTTGAGAAACTTACTGAAAATCACAAATTCGATGGTTATACGATCGCACATGTTAAAATATGCAAAATATAAGAGTTTTGAGAAACTTATTGAAAATCACAAATATTCGATGATTTTACGATCGAAAATGTTAAAATACACAAAATATAACAGTTTTGAGAAACTTACTTGAAGTCACAAATTCGATGATTTTACGATCGAACATGTTAAAATACACAAAATATAACAGTTTT